TTGACGTGGTTTCCTTGCTGAACCTTGGCAGAGGGATAGGTCCTGATAATCACATGTAGGATTGTTGCAGAGGCAAAGGATCTACAATAGAATAATGAAGGCTTTTATTACCTCTAGCTGAACATTACAAGGATTTGAGTCTTGTATTAAGATAGATTCTGCAGAATCCAGAATTAGATATCTTTAAAAGATGAACAGAGCACGTGTTCAAACTGTCAATATTTATTTGCAGTTTCACCTTATGGTTTCAGACAGATCTTTGAGTTATTGTTGCCCTTGTGGTTTGTGTTGTTTTAGTTACTGGAATTTAAGGGGAAGCGGTGGCATTTCTGTAATCCTGTAGAGCGCAGGCCTGCTTCTGATCTGAACCTAATGCTTGTGTATCAGCTTAACCGGCCAGTCGCTACAAACGTTTGTATAAAACAATTAACTGTTTCTCGCTTATCTGAGCTGGAAATTTAAATGCTATTTCTTGTCCAGTCAAAGATGAGTCAGCTGCCTTTTTGAAACAACAGTAACTGACACTGTGTTCTTATCTGCTCTGTATCCTCCACCCCCCTCTCTCTCTTTGTCTCTGTGTCTCTCTTCCCTTCGCTGAAGAAAAAACACAAAGGTGCAGATCAGTCGTGTTCGTGTGGAAGACTCTGGCAACTACACCTGTGTGGCTGAAAACTCACTAGGGCAAGAAAACACCACGAGTATAATCAGCGTGCAGATCTGTGAGAAACAACACATCTATCTGCCTGTCTGTCTACACATTATACACAATTTGTCTGATCAGTTAACATTGAATCCCACCAGAAAGAAAAGATAATCATAGCATCTCTGATGGTACACCAGTACAAATGCCCTGTTTTATGAGTTCCTAAATGTATTTTCTCATATAGTTTCTTTTGTCTGTCTTTCTGAAAAGCTGAAACTTTATGCTGCAGTTCTTTGTCCATATCCTAAAATCAGTGGGCATCTACTCTCGTCCTGGCTAGAAAAATTTGATCAACCTGTATTTTATAAGATGTGATATTCTGCTCCATTCAGCAGTTTCACTTCTCAGCAAAGATTTGACAGGACTTCTATGGAACTTTTTTTTTTCCAAATTAAAGACTTAGACTAGAGTAGAATCACATCTTAATTATTAAACCTATTTATCATCATATATGCAGGAATCCAGTTAAAGTAGAAACTTAATGTATCGACTGTGGTCAGACTGTGTTGTGTCACGTGATTTGTGTTCAGACTTTACAAGCTGTGTAGTGGTAGCAGCTACAGAACAGAAATGACTGAAAATAACTGACAGTATTACTTATAAATATACTGTAAATCTTCCAGTTTAACGTTATAAAGGAAGAAGATACTGTAGGTGTGTGGTGGGGGGTGTGGGAGCAGTAAACCACCACTCACCAAACCAGCCCAGCAAAGTGACTGCCCCAAAAAGTAGACTGATTTGTCGCACTAATCTGGTTGAAGATCACTAATGTGCCTCGTGGCATAGTGCAGTATGATATTTAGTACTGTGTTTGCAGTAATATGTCAACACATTTTTACTTTGCAGTTTTCTCTGTCACTTCACAACACTTCTCGGCTCAGAACTAAAATTCCCAAAGCTGCTAGTTTGACCTCTGCATCCTCCAGTCATTTGTGCACAACATCTAAGCAGTTTCTCATTATTTCAAATAAACTCTAAATGCTTTGGCACATTCATGAAAGTGATTATGTACAAATGTCTGCTGTTTCAATTGATAGGCATTAGCTCATTGCAGATGTGTTTACATGCAAAATGCATGAACCAGTTGTTATATAATCTGTTGAGTATACAGAATTTCTATACATTTTTATTTTTTATTTGCAAATGTGTCCTAAATTAATGAATTGCTCTCAGGTTAATCTTTCACTAATGAAGGGCAATGTGCAAAATACAGGGGCTCTCAGACCCCCGACTGACACCTCAGACCCCCTGAAAGTCTCAATATGAAATGTCAGAGCCTAGAGGTTTTTTATTTATCTACACAATACAATTTATTTGCATGTAGCTGTTTGCTTTCACAGTAACAAAGAGGTGACAGCATTTTTTGGCTTTGTTTCCCTTCTGTCTGTCTGTCCTCCTTGTAGTGACCACCACCACCCCGTCTCCAGGTGTGAGTCATGCGAGGCGCTGCAACGACTCGGAGAAGGCCTACTGCGTCAACGGAGGAGACTGTTACTTTATACATGGTATTAACCAGCTGTCTTGCAAGTAAGTTTGTTGCTCAGTCAGTCACTACTCCCTCAGTTATCACTGTGTGGTCACTCTGCTGTCTCTCCTCCACCTGAATATTGTACCTCTCTCTCTCTCTCTCTCTGCTCTCAGATACTGTCAATGGTCACTGCACTATCTTGTCTTCTGTGCCCTGGTTGTACCCTTCCCCACATGCATTATGTCTTAAGGCTGCTTGTTGTCGGTTTTTACCAGTTGTCACTAAATAAAAGGGTCTTTTGCAAATGGGTATGTCCACGTTCAAAATGTATTGTTTGCTGTGATCACATAGTGTAAGTTCACAGTGAGCGACATTTGCTTGTCCTAGGTGACCCTCAGAAAAATGCTTAAACTAACAAGACGTCATGGAAAAAGGAAATACGTTCTGTAAGGAATTTTTAGAAAGAATAGTATTTACATTTCAGTTAATTCCCAATAGCTATAAGAATGAACTGCACTCTAACTTAACATGCAGATGATAGTCTGACAATGTTTCTGCTGGACTGTTGGCAATAGACTTATCTTTAATTCTCTCAGAGTTGCACAGTGGACATGCTGCAGGGGATCATGGAGAGGTTAGCTAAATACTGTAGCTACACTGCTTGTGGGAGGTGAGGTGACAGTGTTTGGTGAAAATGGACTGCAACAGATCAAGTCACACAGCAGAAGAAAATATGATGTATGTTGAATGCACTTTCCATCTGATTTAAAACAGTCTTCCTCTGGTAGTGCTAAAAACACGACTACAGTACTGTCACCTTTTTGTTCTTTTTCGCACGTTCTCACAGCTGTTACAATATATGGATGTCAAAGCTACCAAATGCACAGCATCCTGACGATGTCCATTTTCCTACTGTTTATTTTTCAGTTTTTTCACTGTGACAAGAAACTCTGCATTTGCTGTCTAGCTGACACTCAAACTTTGGATGTCAGGAGCTCACACAAACACATGAAGATACACACAGAGCAGTCTATGTGTCGTTGTTTTCCGCTCCGAACACATTTAGCAGGTGACTACTGTACATAGCGAGCTCAGTTCTGACAAACAAGAGCCTTTCAAACATCTCTTGCTCGTTTTTTCCCTTCATTTATTCCTCTTCTTTATGACTGTTTGTGTCACCATGGTTTGTGTTGTCCCAGTAGCAAGGAGGCAGGACGAGCTGCTCGACAAGCTAATGGTCCATTCACGGCAAACTTGATCTGAGAAATATAATGCTGAAATTATTTCTATTTAGCCACACCAGGAGTAGCTGAAAGCGTTCACTGCTCATGCTAGCTATCCATTTCTTCTTGTGTTTCTTTGAAACAAACTGTAAACATAAAATGCATCACTTCCTGAGCGGGTGGGAGGATGTCTTCCTCAGGACAGAGCTACCAGACTGGTGCAGTACAGTAGGTGTTTAGAACAGCAAGTGCAAACCTTTTCATGAACTAGATATTAGATGAATCACTGCTGTGTTATATCAACTTTTTACTGAGACAAACTGAAAAAATAGGAACTTATTTATATGAAAATGTCTCAAGTCAACAGTTCCAGCAAATACAATAAAACAAGCTGCATCATATTCTCATATTTAATAGTTGTAAAAACAAGTCAGTCTTTTCCAGCATATTGGCAAAGTGATATAATCGTAAATCCCTGGCTACAAACAACTTGGAGCATTTTATGCCAGTGTAGCAGAAAACAGTTTAGCAGCTATCTGGTAACATTGCCCTTCTTTGGGACCCATTAAAAAGGTACAGTATGGCGGTGCAGTGTATTAAAACACAAACCGTTTGCCACCAAAGGTTTGATTGAACCTAAACTGTGAAAAAGTATTTGTTGTCCACACAGTGAAATGAATATTTATTTGCTAAACTGGAGGTTGTAGTCTTTCAGATCCAACTTGCCCATCACGCTGGGTCATTCTGTAGATGTGTAGCAAACACTTCCCCTGACGGTGTCGATAACAGATGGTGTGTACAGTCATGCATGATCAAGAGCTTTGTTGTTGTGCTTCCTGATGTATCTGCTAGAAATCCATCGTCAGATCCTTTGGTGTCTGTTCCAGATCTGCACTCTTTGTTTCTTTATTTCCATCTCTCCCTGTCTCCCTCTCAATATTTCTACCCCCACCCACCGCTACCACTCACTTTCTACCTTTTCTCTCTCTCTCATCCGATACATCCTCCAGTCATTCCTGAAAGATACATCAAGATTTTTTTTCATGGTGCTGACAAGCAGAAAACTTTTTTGAGAGGGTGCACATAGACATTACAAGCTGCATATATGGTAATTTAGGGGTTACAAAATGTGTAGCATTGTACAGCCTTCTGTGTATGATTCTATTGCATACAGACACACTAGATGTTTAAAGAAACTACAGAAGGAAGCAGCAGACAAGCTAGCAGCTTCCAGAGAGTAACTGTAGCTTCTCAGCTTTGTCATCCTTTGTTGGCCAGTCTGCTGTGGTCAGTGGACAACAGGATGTAAATAAGGCCACTGTCTGTAGACTGTCTGCACTGCCTCTTCACTTGAGAGCTTTGTAGATCCTCTCTCTTACACACTCTCTCACACACACATACATGAAGATACTCCTGAATATGTACAACAGCTGCAAATCTGTGCACTGCACGACACTGGCAGGAAACAAAATTTGTTATTATTCCTGACATTTGAGGTGGTGTTTGCAAGCTCTTTTTTTGTGCCGACCATAAAAAAGCATAGTCTCCTTCTACCTGAAGGGGAAACTAATGCTACACAGCAACCTGGAGTCTGTAGGCTAAAGTGGAGGACATCATATAAGAACATTCACCCTGGTGAGCTGTTTGCAGACTGCATGTTTTTTACTCTGTTTTCCTCTGTTTTCTCCGTAACATTGCAGATATCTCTCAGACCAATCAGAACTTTGCTAGTAAACTCCAGTGTGGCAGCCACCAGAAAACATTAGCCCCCTGTATTCCCAGCTATAGGCTGAAAATGCCAACTTCCCCCACATGGATCAGTACAGTTAATTTAATCTAATCTAATCTGGAAAAGCCATGAGTTCAAGATAGTACTGATTCTTGAACATAATGTCCATGGCTGCTTGTGTGTAGGTGTGTGTTTTCCCTCACTCCTAAATGTGATGAGCCTTTCTGTAATGAATATAAGAAAATTAATCACAGGCTTTGCTTTCATTCATATAGTTGGAACAAAAGGTGTGCTGGCTTTCTTTTCCCCTTCAGCTCATTCTCAGGGCTGAAAGAACAGTACAGTCGGCAAAAAGAGAAAGCAAGCGCGGGCAGATAAAGACAGGGTGCAGAGAGGAGGGAAGGGAAATGAGAAGCACAGAGAGAAAAGAAGTGATATACAGTAAAAGCTCTGCCGGCATAGGGCTGCTTCTGCTCCAAGTGTCTCCCACCTCTCTCTCTCTGCTCTATTTATAACTCTATGGGAAATTGCTGAGTAGGCTTTCCCATGTTATTGATTCAAAATGCAAGTTGTCTCTTTAATGGTGAGAAAAAGGAGAAAAGGATACAGCTATATGTACCGTATATGCATGAGGGTAAGACAAAGGTCTTTGCATTTTAAATTGCATTTCTTGACCAAGTACTAAATCACTGTAATAAATAGAGTGTGGTTATTAAAGCCAGAGAGCTTGTGTTATCCCATAATGACTGTAATGGAGCCACACCCATAGTATCATAACACTATGGTTCACCAATTGCTGCGATTCATCTACAGAATAATGTGCACTGCAGTCGTATCAGACTTTCTATAACATGCCTATTTTTCATTTGACTGCAGTAAAATCTGATCTACTATCAATTCTAGCAATAAAAAAGATTAAATCAATTATGCTTGGCTGGGTAGAAGCCATGACACCCATTATAACACACACTTCAAGACATCTCAGAATTTGAAGCACACTTAAAAGATTTTTTTCTTCGCTCAAAAATATTAATCGAATGGAGGCTGTTTCATTTAAAGAGCTGATAAGGATTAATGGGAAAGAATCAATGTCTGGGATCAAAAGTACAATAAATATCAATATTTTGGATTGTGTGTGCGTATCAGTTTTCGTGTTGCTGCGATGCACAGAGCCACGTACTTGTTAGTTTCACTGTTGTGAGTTTGATATCTGATGCCAGAATATGAATCATATTCACCCCGTGGTATCGCTGACAGCTCACCAGCCATCCAGAAACAAAACACCACGTTCTGCAGCTGCATCTAAACTGTTGCTGTTATTTATGCCCAGGAAATACCAAAACCTATTCCAATCATTTTCATGCTCACACACTGTGGAGGGCTGCCTGTGTGTCTGTGTGTGTGTCTGTGGGTGTGTGTTACTTTTAGCTTAATTTTAAGATGTTGCCATTTTTGCATTTTTCATCAGGTTCTTTCAGCGTGTCCCCATTTTGTAAGGATTAGTTTACAATGCATTTAGGGCCATTTAATAGTTAAAAGGTTTTGGTGGTTTACCAGGCTATCACACCAAAACACACAAACACAGCATT